TTAGCCACAGCAATTAGAAAAGAGAAAGAAATAAAAGGAATAAAGATAGGAAAAGAAGAAGTTAAACTGTCATTATTTGCTGTTGTTGTTGTTTTTGAGACAGGGTCTTGCTATGTAGTTCAGGCTGGCCTTGAGCTCACTGTGTAGCCAAGAAGGCCTTGAACTCGTGGCAATCCTCCTGCCTCTGTTTCCCAAGTGCTGGGATTACAGGCGTGCACTTCCACACCTGGCCATACTGTGGAGATTAACCCAGTTACTTCAAAAATATCTCTTAGGATTTAGGTTTCTGTATGACACACACACACACACACACGCATGCACACGCACACACAGAGGTTTTTTGTTTGTTTGTTTTTGTTTTTTTGCTGAGTAGCTGTATTTCTTTCACCTTTCAGGAGGCCAGTAACCTAAATACGATTGAGAATCCCCATTTTCCCCTGATCTAATCTAACTTATATATTGCTTCCAAGGTAATTATTGTAAAGCCTTCATTAACATTTCATCATAGACTCTTACTGTGGGTCTGTGTTTTGGATTGCCCCCTCTCTGAATTCCCAAACCTATATTCTTTCTCATAGCACAAAAGAATGTAAGGAGATAGACAAGACGATCACATGAGGGTTTCTGGAGTTCATAACCCCTTGGTTGAACATGTAAGCCTTAGTGGAGTAGAAAAGATAATTCCCTAAGTAGAGGGGACAGCATGAGCTGATGCATGGAGAAGTCAGGTAGTTGCTTGCTTGCCTTGAATATCAGTTTAGTAGTGTCAGATGATCCAAAGTCTTGAATACTCTTTTCATTTTGACTCTCACCTCTGCTTTTAGTCATATATCACCTTTATATCAAACGTTCTACTTGTGCTTTGGATGTTCCAGACATCTCTGTTCCCCAAATTAGCCATGTGCTTTCATACTTAATTCCTTTGTTCATTTTCTTTCCTTGGCCTTGAATTTTACTTCCAGTTACCTGACGCAGGAAATACAGCATGGTGAGAAAGTAGGGACCAGACTTGGGGTATATGGAAAAAATGGTCATTGTAGGATCAGAAATCTTAATAAGATGTGCTGTTTGTGAGTTTTTCCAGATTATAACAATTGAATCTGAGGCTATGAGTGAGGGCCAGGTATAATCAAAGCCAAAGTCAGGTTATAAATAGTAACGGCAATAACAAGTCTCAGGTCAGAGAGTAAACACTCAGACCAGAAAAGGCTTGTACTAGAGAGCAGCACAGTTGTAAAATAGAAAGCCAAGGTGGGGAACCGTAAGTATCTTAGAAAATTAAAGGAGAAATGACAATGAGGGCAGAATGAATTTCTTTTAAGCGCCAACAGCGGTGTTTGATAACTCCTTATATAGCTCTCAACTCAGACTTGAGTGTGCTCATATATTTCCCATTAAGCAGGAGCCATACCCAGTGTGCACAGCCTGATACTTGCAGGTGGACACAGGTAATCAGGAGCATTTCATTTAATAAAATGTATGAGCAGGAGGGAAACAGTTGCTTTGGCAATTAAATTCTAACAGCTTAGCTCTGTTTAATATAAGATGCTTAAAGTGTTTATTGAAAAAAATATTCACTTCTATAACCCACATGTGCTGTTGTGAAGCTCAGAAGAGTGTGATTTTGCTGCTTTATTTTAAATCCTTTAAAATAAATAAAGATGTGCTGTCTTATTTTTTTCTTTTTTGCAGAACATGCCAGATCCCCACAACCTTCCAATAGTGGCTGGTTGGAAAAAATACCCACTTTTTTTTGGTACTGCAGTATTTGCCTTTGAAGGCATAGGAGTGGTAAGAATTAGATTTTACTATTATATTTAAAATCTAAAGTCAACAAAGATTGATATAGTCAAACTATATAAAATATAAATTTTTTGGCTCAATTTTCTTTATTACTAAAAACATGATTTCTAGTTTGGTATGATAGATTTGAAATGTAGTTTAGTTCTCCCACTGTGAGATTAATCTCAGACGTATCACTTAGACTCTCTTAGTTCTTTTTCTTCCCTTTTAAAATAAGGAAATTAGAATAGATTATTTTTAACATTTTATTATGGAAAGTTTCAAACCTATACAATATATAGAGAATGATATAATGAATTCCTATGTAACTATCACCAAGTTTTAAAAATTTATCTCATGGACAGTTTTACTTCTAACACACGTAGTCAAACACATGTCAAACATTGTACTTTATAGACTAGATTATTTGAATGGAATTGAAATAGTTACAAAGTTATTACAGAAAAATCAATATAAATTCTCCCTCTATATTTGTACATACCATATTAGAGAAACAGTATTATCAAAAAAGTAATGCCAAGAGATATAAGCATCTTGAAGATTTTAAGATCATAAATATTTTCATTCAGTATGCTTCCAGTTTATTTATAGACTAGAATTTGTAGACCTGGAAAAATAGACTATCGCTCTCTATCCCGTTTGCTTATGTTTCAGAGCCTGTTTGGTATGGAAACAAAACAATTGTAAACATCTACTTACATGGGCCCCAGACAAAATAGGTCTAAAAGACAGCTTTATACTATTTTACTTGGGTTTTTGCTCTCTGAATTATGTTTTAGAGAATCTTACAGCTCCTCTTATTACTATTGCAGACATAACTACAGGTTTTAATTTGTCTTTAACTAGTGAGTTCCAGTGTCTAGTTAATTATTAACACATTTCCATTTAAGTGTTGTTTCTCTAACATCTCAAACTCATTAATTCAAAAGTCTGACTTATAGTTTCTCATCTAAAACCAACTTCATTTTTATTTTCCTTTGTCTTTTAGTTTTACTTTCAGTTGCTTGAAATGTTGGAGTAATTCTTTATACTCTGTCCTTGGTTCCCCATTCCAAACAGTAATTCAGACATGTTGATTATTCTTTCATATTTCTTAAGTCTATTCCATAAAAGAGATGATAGTTAAATACCAGTGATGCTGTGTGATACAGAAGAAGCCTTGAGAGAGGTTAATTTTCTCCCTTTTCTCCTTTTCTAGCTGCATTGACACAATTCCTGACTATAGCTCTGTGTTTCAGGTCTGGATGATCTGAACAGCCACACTATCCTCTGCTTTATTCTGTTACTAATATATGGTCAAACCCTCCAAAGATTACCCTTAAAAACTTGTGTTTTTCACTTAGCCTTTTTGTTTTCTTTAGAAGTTCTTTTTTATACACAATAGAAATAATCATATAATCTTAATTAAAATTGACAGTACACATAAGTGAGTAGATAAAGTAAAGTTGTAGATGTGTGTACACATGGGTTAGTATACATGTTTGTATTTCCTAGCTCTGTCTCCTGAGAGGGCCCACAAACAGTGATACTCTAGTAGCAACAAGCACACCTAGCACTCAAGACTTATTTTGTGAATACCGTTCTCCAGCAAAAGAACCAAAGTTCTCTTGAGAAAAATGGCAGACTTTAAGGTTAAAGGAAAGAAATTCAAAATGAGTCTGGAACACATTGTAGTACCAGAAAGTAAACACTCAAAAACAAGCATGGAAGCATGTCATAGGTACACAGGAGTTGTCCTGTTAGAATTCACAATGGCAGGCTGCAGCAATATGAATAGAAAATGAATGAATGAGTAATTAGTTATAACTTAAAGTAGAAAACAAATTAAGTCCATGCTAATATAAATAAATGATTAATCAAATAAATACATGGGCAGAATCCCAAATAATTTATGTTGTGACTCCTCCCTTCAGGAAATATAATTAATTAGTCCTTAGTCCTTAGTCTGTAGAGGCATGCTTTTAGCAAAAAAGTATGGTGAAGGGGAAGAAAAGTAACTGTACAGCAGAAAAATCTGGCAAAATACCTCAACCAAACTATCAAAATGAATGTTACCAATCATAAATCACAATGATAACATATATGATGAAAAGGGTACTTCCCTTTTGTGGTATCCTCCTCTAAAACTAATAACCCCAGTCAAAAATAGCATTAGAAAAATGCAAATAGAGAGATATTATGCAAAATAGTTCAACAATACTGCTAAAAATATTAAGATAATGAACAATGAAAGATTGAGAAACAGTCACAGACTAGAGGAAACTAAGCAAGGTGACAGAATGCCATGTGGCATTCTGGATGGGACCCTGGAAAGGAAAAGAAGCATTAATGGAAAAGCAAATGAAATGCAGATGAACTTTGGAGTTTAGTTAATCCATCAGTGTTGGTTCACAATTGTAACAAATGTACTAGGGCAGTGTAAAATGTTAACTGTAAAGGAAACTAGGTCAGGAGTACATAGACACTCTGTGTTATCTTTGCAACTTTTCTGTAAATCTAAATTTATTGGAAAATAAACATCTACTTTAAAAAACAGGTTTGGTTGCCAGGATCTGATGTTTAAATCTTTTTAAAAATTTAAAAATGTAGGCCTGGGGATTTAGCTCAGTGGTGCTGCCACCTTCCTCACAAGCACAAGGTCCTGAGATCTATCCCTGGTATCAAAAAAAAAAAAAAGAATTAAAAAATGTAAAAAGCATAGCACATATAAAAACACTTAAAAATTATTGTGTTGCTTTAAGGAAAAAATAGTTTGCATATATACTATAAAAAGACCAAATTATATAGATGAGACACTATGTTATTTTGAAATACTTTTGTCATGTTCCATTTAAAAAAAGAATTTATATTCTTTTCTTAGGTCCTTCCATTGGAAAACCAAATGAAAGAATCAAAACGCTTTCCGCAAGCATTGAATATTGGCATGGGAATTGTCACAGCTTTGTATGTAACACTGGCTACTTTAGGATATATGTGCTTTCGTGATGAAATAAAAGGCAGCATAACTTTAAATCTTCCCCAGGATGTATGGTAAGTGTGCATGAGTTTATTAATCTTAGTTTAGTTTTATAGGTATTATTTATCACCAGTATTTGATGATAGAGCTATGGTTTTAGATTTATATTTAAAATTTTTTACTGTGATTTCTTTGTGTATTCTAGAACTTTTTCAAAATTCTCAGAGGAGACCATCTATGAACTTGTGGATAAAATATTGTTCCAACTTCAGTTTAAATATAGGAGCAAAATATGGATTCTTTCAATATAGACATACTTTAATAAAAGTATTAATACCCATCCTTGCTTACAAAAAACCAAATACTCTGGGTTCTTGATAAAATATCCCATGTAGTCCTCACTGTTTTACTAGTCAATTTTATATTGTATGTACCTTAAATCCTTTTAGATGTTGGTCATTGCAGGGAAAAGAATAAAAGCATCACAAATCTTGAAAATCTCTGATAAATTGAATCTATATATTGACTAAAAAATGAATTATTAAAAATATTTTTGCCCTTTACAAAGATACTGATTTTTTTGCATCTAGTATGATAAATTTTTGTTTCCAAGCACAAATTATTGTATTCTTTGAAGCTTTATTAATATTTGTTATATTAGGTAGACTTAAGTTCTAAGGTTTATTTATACTTATTTTAAGTATTATAATTAATTAATATTTAATAAGTGTCAATCACCTTTTAAGTATATTGGAGGAATATTCAGAGAAGAATAAAGCCTAGCTTTAACTCTTATGGAGACTTAGCACTGAGTTTTGAAAGAAAGATGCTGTGCCTAAATGTTATCTAAACATAGTTGAACTTTCTTATATATCTCCAAAACAAATTTCTGTGGCTTTAAGACAAGTTTTTATTTTTTAGAGAGTTCAGTGGGTAGCTTTTTGCTTTCTGCTTTATAAAACTTAATATGTAAAGGAAACTTACCATAGTTACTTGCTTAAAACAAAAATGAAAACAAAAGTTGACAATGTCTATAGAAAAGTTGAAAACAGCAGTGAAATATGATTGGAAATATAGATGCCAAACAGAAATACATGAGTTTTTGAAACAGAAAAGAGGTAAAAGTGAAACAGATGATATTAAACTTTGACACTTTTTAAAAACACTTCTTACTCTTCAGTGGTTGATAATTTATAGCTGTATCAACTTCTAAAAGATTAAAAGAATTTTATTTCTCATTTTTACTCTATGCAACTCCAAATAAATTATATTTACATATAATTAATATTATTGAATAGTATTGGTAATAGCAGGTTCTTATCCTATATAACTTCAGATTTATGTAAATGAAGGAGTAATTATACTTTCGTTTTAATGATGTATTTTAAGAAATATATTAGCCATAATTTCAAAATACATAAGTGAAAAAGGAATATTTAAACTAATAATAATGAAAATATTCATTTAATTCTCTTTAACTACATACCAGAGTATATAAAGAAGTTGTCTTTTGGTTATTTTCCATATTTTCAGTCGGTTGACTGTTTATGTTTAAATTTCAAGCCTCAAGTTGAGAAGTACATTCTTAGATAATTTTAAAATTAAGGTTTATTGTTAGGCTCAAGGACATTCTTCTTTCTTAGTTGTGGTATTTGTAGTATTTTCAAATCCATTTCTGCTCAGCCTTATTTCCTCTTTTATGATGAATATATTATAAAATATATTATAAAATATATTATAAAAGGAAACTTACTGAATTCCTTCTTGCTTGACCAAAGTTTAGAGAACTGTTTACTTACTACTTTTAAGTCATAGGACATAAGAAATAAGCTTAAAGCCCAATTAGTGATTTTACTTGGGCCAGGATACTTCATATTTTTTTAAATAACGGTATTTATTCTTAAGAGTGGAAAGATGCCCTGTGCATAGAACTCTGAGGTGGGAAAATAGAACTCTTTTAAATGGGAAGATAGTGACTACCAATGGTGTTTCTGCTGAAAGAGGATATATGTATTAATCACTGCCCCTAATGCCACAGCACATTTAATCCACCCTCCTTTCTAGTTTCTTTTTTAAAGTACAAGAGTGATTGGTATTTCTTTTGATTATTAGAATATATTATTTAAAAAACACAACACACTAATTACCTGTAACACGGGACTAGGCTCTGTAATGTTCTTTGGAGTCCCATGATTCTGCATTTTCTCCCTATGTCATTTAATATATGAAAAATCTTCCTTGGCTAGACAAAGGAAATTTACCAAAGACTTTATTAAGAAACCCATTCTGAATTTTGACAGGAGTTTGTCCACAATGTCACAACCTAAAGATAATCACACTTACCCTGTTTATGTGTACAATTATTAAGTATTAATTTTTAAAAATAAATTATCAAAAAATCCCAAGTTACTCATGAAACTGAAAACTCTTGTGCTGCTTTCAGCACTGAACTTTAAAGAGATAAATTTTCTTGGACAAAATAGTAACTTGACGTCTCTATTTTCCTTATTAATGTAGTTTTCATATAGTATGTATAATTTAGAGAACTTTTGCTCTTATGTTGGACTTAAGATTCACGACATTTCTGTAACCAGTGACATGTTACCTACCGAGATTTTCAAGCAAGGAGAGCTATGTAATTCAATGTTTAATATGAATTTTTTCTTTTATATATAGGTCCTTGAGGTTATGATTTAAGATTTCAAATACATGCAAATATGCTTAATTTTTTAAAAGAAATTTGAGAAAACATTAGCCCTGGACCATATTAAATTTAAAAGCTTCTTCAGCAAAAGAAACAGCCAACAGGGTGAAAAGACAGCCTACAAAATTAGAAAATTTTGGTAGCTGTTCTTTGGTCAGAGGACTAACATCTAGAATATATAAGGAATTCCAAAAAACATGAGCCCCTCTCAAAAAATAAAAGACCCAGGCAAAAGATATGCAAGTGAAATGAGTAGACACTTCACAAAAGAAGTACAGATGGTTAAAAAATACATCAAGAAATGCTCAGCATTCCTGGCCATTAGAGAGATGCAACTTAAAACAACACTGAGATTCCATCTTACCCAGAAAGAATGGACATCATGAAGAAATCAAATAATCACAAGTCTTGGCAAAACTGCAGGTGGGGGGAAAGGAACCCTTCTACACTGTTAGTGGGAACATAAACTAGCACAACCACTATGGAAATCAGTATGGAGATTCCTAAAAACACTAAAACTAGAAATTCCATTTGACCCAGGTATTCTCTTTTTAGGTATCTTCCAAAAGAGTTAAAGACATCCTATTACAATAATACATGTATAACCATGTTTATAGCAGCAAAATTCATAATAGCTGAATCTTGGAAGCAGCCTATATGTCCATCCACAGATCAGTGGATAAAGGAAAAGTATTATTTACATAAAATGGATTACTATTCTACCATCAAGATAGTCATTTGTAGGAAATAACTTTATAAATGATGAATCATTTGTAAGAAAATAGGTACATCTTGAGATCATAATATTAAGTGAAATAAATCAGACACGAACTTAAATATTGTATGGTTTCTCTTGTATGAGAAACCCAAATTATAAATAAAGAGCAAAAGAAATGATAGATAATAGGAAGTAGGGAGATATATCTTTCTCAAATGGGAGTGGATCAAAAGATGAAGGGAGAGGGGAGGGGAGGGGATGGAGGAGAAAGAAAAGGGATGAAAAAAGGAATGAAAGTGTGTGCATGTACCAGCTCCATCCAAGGTATGTAATCATTATGTACCACAAACATCTACTAATAAAAAAAATTAGACCTTCATGGGCTGGTTATAATATCAGAACATTGGCTTAGTCCAAAATGAAATCTTCCCAACAGTATGTCCTGAACTTTTACATGCCATGTGCAAACCTTCCAGGCTTTTCAGAGTGAATTGTTTGTATATCATCTAGAAATTCAGTTAGTGGAAATCAATTGGCTTTTTCCCAGACAAGCATTTTTTAGTTAGTATATTCTGACCTAGGATACCTTCTGGATTTCCTGTTTACCTTATGAAAACCAAACAGAAGGAAGCTAGACTCATATTAAGAAAGACTAAATTCAATTTTTTTTCAACAGGTTATATCAATCAGTGAAAATTCTGTATTCCTTTGGCATTTTTGTGACCTATTCAATTCAGTTCTATGTTCCAGCAGAGATCATTATCCCTGGAGTCATATCCAAATTTCATGCAAAAGGGAAGCAAATCTGTGAATTTGGGATAAGGTCCTTCTTGGTTAGTATCACTTGTAAGTATCACTCCATATTTATGTCATAATAATTCTTTCATTGTTTAATTTCTCAAAATGCAAGATATTTTTTCACCATCTTTTGAATCACTTGCATATATTTATTTACTATGTAGATATTTGTGTGTATCTATATATCTACCAGTAATTAAAAATATTAAGTTATTAAAAAGTAAAATAAATGTATTCACCAATCTGTGGTACTTTTGGGGTTAAAGTTGTTTTCCTACTACTATAAATTTTCTGCTGTGAGAAGAGAAACACATCTAATCCTAGCACATTAAAATAACAAATTATTCTTAAAATGACTGTAGGAATAAAAATAAGATGCATAAGGAACCCTTTGCATTGTTGATGCACATTTTATTTCTAGTTTTCCTCAGTTTTTACAAATTTCTGCTAACTTGTATATAAGTTTAAGTTTTATTCTCTGTGACTGTATACTTGAGAGGCTTTTATTTTGTTTGAGTTGGGCGTTAATAACTTCAGTGGCTTATTTTCATTTGTGAAAGAGTGTGTATACTTTCATTAAGATTTCACATTATATAATTCTTTCATAGGGTAGCATTAATAATGGAGACTTATGGAGAGGGAGCTTGATTTGGGTGTAGTAGAAGGAATGTGAGTTTTGGAGTAACACAGACCTGGAGATTCAAATTCACATACAACACTCGCTAGTCTCTTGAGACAAATTATTATACCATCACTAAGTCCCTTTTTCCTCACCTGTGAAATGAGGTTAACATTTCCTTATTCCATTTTTGTAGGTTTTAAAAATAATATTAACAGAGTAACTAGAAATTATAGTATTATAACCATTATTGTAACTGTAAATTAGTATAGTAAGACTATACCCCTGAACTAATCTGGGGTCAGATTATTGGTGCTCTTTGAAAAAGGCAGCTCTGGAAATTTTTTATGGGATATTAAATAATCATCTTGAACCATACAGGGTTAGAGAATGTAGAACTGGAACTTCTGGTCAACTCAATAATTGAGATGCATAGGATAGAGCTTGTCTCTGTATTTAAAGAATTGCAAGTTTTACATTTTGTTTGAAAAAAGATAAAGCCAGAAAAAGTCTAAAAAGCTTATTTTTCAAAGTAATCATTTAAGTGAACTCTCTCAACGAATAAAGGAAGTCGTATGGAAGAATGAAGTCAGTGAGTCCATACTTTGATGACCAATGAAACCTTCAGTAGGAAAAAGTTATTTTAAAATATTTGGAAATATTTCTTCTATGTTGTCCTTATTGACATTTTGATAACTAGACTAAATTAAAAATAATTTCATAATTTCAGTAAGTCTTTTTGTCAGTAGACATAATTCATTCTGAAAGTGTATCCCCTTTTAAAATCAGTTACTGAAACTCAGTTAAAGGAGCATGAAGTACATATAAACAGGAGGCCAGGATTTTATTTGTTTATCCATTTCTGCACATAGATAGAATAAGCTTGATTAGCATTTAATACCATTCATAACAGCTGTCCATAGATGCCACGGGGCAACCTACTTATCAAAATTCTGTAGTGAATATCTGTGATGACAAAATTATCCTTATCATAAACTATCCTCTTATTGTTTTTGTTCATTTGAGTTTTTATATGTTGGATTTGCCCAAAATAGACATGCTTCTCTTTGTCTATTAATAACATTAACATGTCACATATTTCAAGCCAATTTTCCTAGCCCAAAAAAAAAAATCTATTGGTTATATAATATTTAAAGAGCTTTGTTTCATTGACCTTGTAGTACAACATGATTTAAATGTGTTTAATCAATAGAAATTTAGACTAAATTTCAAAATTATATAGTATTTATGCATATGGTTTCCAACAATATTTCACTTGATTCAATCGTGCCAGCTTAAGTTATTGAAACACATTAATGAGGAAAACTGGATTCCACATGGAACATTATTTTGAATGGCAAGGGTCTAGTCATGTTTATCTGGCCTTACTGCTCTACTGTAAATAAATGCAGCAGATCTCCTGAACACGGTTATATTCAGTGAAACTTGAAAGGTCCTAATTGTGTTTGAGAGTTATGCTTTATATAAAGTTCCCTAGAGAAAAATATTAAAAGGCTGCAACAAACACCTTTTAAACAGAGAATCTACTTTTTAAAGTATTTCTAAACTTTCAGTTTCTTTAGAGGCTCTGTTTAAAAAATAAACAGCTCACTTCAGTCCTATAGTGTTAAGTGAGACATAATTTCAAAACTATTTAGAACTTTAGTTTTCATAATAATTTGAAGAGAAAAGAGCAGATCTTTCTGAAATGGGAAGGGGATCAAGAGATAAAGGGAAGGGAGGGAAAGGGGATAAAAAAAAGGAATTAAGGTGTGTTATATACACTCCATACAAAGAATGTGAATGTGAAAGAAACCACAAGAATTTCATAAACACATGGAAATTAGACAACACACTTCTTAACAACCAGTGGGTCACAGAGGAACTTAAAGAAGAAATCAGATAGTTTTTACAACTAAATAACAATGTTAGTATAACATATCGGAATCTGTGGGACACAATGAAAGTAGTCTTATGAAGGAAATTCATAGCAGTGAATACTCATATTAGGAAAACAGAGTGAGCTCAAACAACCTGATGTTGATCCTCAAGCTTCTAGAAAAAGAAGACCAGGACAAATCCAAAACTCATACAAGGGAGGAAATTATAAATTTCAGAGCAGAAATCAATGCAGTGGAGACTGAGAGAATGATACAAAAAATTAATGAAGCAAAGAATTCTTCGAATAATAAAATTGATAAAGCCTTAGGCAACCTTATCAAAAAAAAGGAAAGAAAAGCCCCAAATCCATGCAAATAGGAATGAAAAGGGTGAATTATAATGGACCCAGCAGAAATCCAGAGGATCATCAGTACCTACTTTGAAAACCTATACACCAATCAGATGGAAAACACAGAAAAAATGGACAGATTTCTAGATACATATGAATTACCAAAGTTGAATGAAGAAGACCTAAAAATTCTAAACCCAGGATCAACATAATGGAAAATGTAATTAAAAATTTACCACTGAGAAAAGCCCAGGTTCTGATGGCTTCACTGCTGAATTCTACAAGACTGTTGCCACTACCGTTTAAACTCTTCAATGAAATTGAAAGGGAAGCAATACTCCTGAATTCATTCCTGGAAACAAGAATCACCTTGATCCCAAAACCAGAGAAAGACCCAACCAAAAAAGACAATTATAGGTCAATCTCCCTAATGAACATAGATGCAAAAATCCTCAATAAGATACTGGCAAACAGAATGCAGAAGATCATCAAGAAGATAATACACACTGACCAAGTGGGATTCATCCTAGGGATGCAGGGATGGTTCAACATAGGCAAATCAATAAATAGCTCTATATGAATAGAGCTAAGGAAAAAAACCATATGATCATCTCAATAGATGCAGAAAAAGCATTCAACAAAGTCCAGCACCCATTCATGGTAAAAACCCTACAGAAAATTGGAATAGCTGGTCTCTGTCTCAACCCAGTATAAGCCATCTATGAAAAACCAACAGCCAGTATCATACTAAATGGTCAGAAACTGAAGTCCTTCACACTAAAATCAGGAACAAGCCAAGGATGTCCCCTATCACCACTCCTGTTCAGTATAGTTCTGGAAACATTGGCCACAGCAATTAGACAAGAGAAATAAAAGGAGTAAAGGATAGGAAACAAGTTAAATTGTTATTATTTGTAGATGGCATGATACTTTATATAGAAGACCGTGAACTCCACCAAAAGTCTTCTAGACTTAATAACCAAATTTAGTAGAGTAGCTGGATACAAAGTCAACACACAAAAATCAATGGCCTCCCTGTACACAAACAACAGACTCACTGAGAGAGGAACTGGAGAAACAACTCTTTACAATAGCATCCAAAACAATGAAATACCTAGGAATTAACCTAATGAAGGAAATCAAAGACCTCTCCTCTGAAAACTACAGCATTCTGAAAAAAGAGATTGAAGAGGATATCAAAAAATGGAAAGGCATCCTTTGCTCCTGGTTAGGAAGAACCAATATAGTGAAAATGGTCATATTTCCAAAACTGCTATATAGATTTAATACAATCTCAATTGAAATCCCAATAGCATACTTCACAGAACTTGAGAAAACAATGCAAAAATTCATTTGGAACAAGAAGAGACCAAGGATAGCAAAAGCAAACCAAGGTAACAAAGACAAGGTAGGAGGTATCACAATCTCCAGCTTGAGACTATGCTACAAAGCTACTGTGATAAAAACAGCATGGTACTGACAAACAGACCCAAGGATCAGTTGAACAGATTAGAAGATGCAGAAAAAACTCCAGACATACTCAGCCACCTCATCTTTGACAAAGGAGCCAGATACCCTCATTGGAGGAAAGACAACCTCCCTCTTTAATATAGGGTGCTGGAAAAATTGGATTTCAACTTGCCAAAGATTAAAACTAGGCCATATCTCTCACCATGAAGTAAACTAAAATCGAAATGGATCAAAGATCCAAATATTAAAACAGAAACATTAAACTGGCTGGAAGAGAGGTTAGGTAAATCTCTTGAAGATACTGGTGTAGAAAAAGATTTCATGAACAAAATCTCAGTCATATGTGAACTAACACAAAAAATCAACAACTGGGATCTCATCTTAAGCTTTTGCATAGCAAGAGAAATCACCAACAGAGTGAAGAGATAACCCACAATGTGGGAAAAAATTTTTACCAGCTGTTCCTCAGACAAAGGTTTACTATCTAGAATATATAAAGAACTTAAAAAAAAAATCAGACCTCCCAAATTTAAAGACCCAGTCCAAAAATGGGCATCTGAAATGAATAGACATTTCTCAGACAAGTAGGAATAGCAAATAAACATGAAAAAATGTTCAACATCACTGGTCATTTGAGAGATGCAAATGAAAACAACGCTGAAGTTCTACCTCCAGAAGGAATGGCTGCTATCATGAAATCAACCAATAAGAAATCCTAATGGGGTTGTGGGGGAAAATGAACCCTTCTCCACTGTTGGTGGGAGTGCAGACTTGTGCAACCACTGTGGAAATCAGTATGGAGATACCTCAAAAAACTAGAATTCGAGGTCCCATATGAACCAGCTATTCCCCTGCTGGGTATCTTCCCAAAAGAATTAAAACCATCATACCACAGTGCTATATGTGCACCTATGTTTATAGCGGCACAGTTTATAATAGCTAAAACTTGGAAACAATCCAATTGCCTATCAACTGGAGATTGGATAAAGATGTGGGTTTTTTTTTTTTTTTTTACTACTCAGCCATAAAGAATGAGAAACTAGAGACATTTATAGCTAAATGGGTGCACATTGAGGCCATACTTTTAAGTGAAATAAATAGGACATACATGTGTAAATACTGAATAGTTTCTCTGGTGTGAGAAACAAAGTGTAAACAGGATCAAAATGTATGATAGATAATGTAAAATAGGAAGAAAATATCCAAAGGGGTACGGGAAGTGAGAGGGGTAGGGGAAAGGAAAGAAGAGAAAGGAATATATGAGAAAAGTAAAAACTGGAAACGAAGTCTTTGTAAATAGGGAGGGATGCAGGGGTTAAGGGAGGTCAGGAGAATGGGGAAAATAAGAACCAAGATATATCATGTAAAGGTACAAGTTCCCAATGATGAATGTCATCGTATTGTATACCTAACATGTACCAATAAATTTAATGAAAAGGCATAAAAGTAAAGAATGTGAACATTATATACTGTAGACATGTACTAATAAAAATGGTGAATAATAACTTCTGGTTCTATAAAAAACATGGTGAGAAATTAGTTCCAAATTAATCTTGTATCTTCCTAGAAAATATTGAGAATCACAAAGAAAAGTGGAGTAGAAAAAAACCCTCATACAGTAAAAACAGAGAAACTAGTAGACTGCAAACTAACAGTAAAGTACAAAGAGGACAGATTAACTATATATAGATAGGGACATATAGATGTCTCTCAGGTAATTCAGTAGAGATAAAATAGTCTAGAAATGAGAAAAGTAAAAGAAAATGACTTAGAAATAAAGAGAAGAATAACGTGTTAGAAATGATAGCTATAGAAGATAAGTAAAGGAGAGCCAGCATCTGCACAAGTAGAGACTCCTGTGAAGGAGCTGTAGTGATGCAGTTGCCTTGGTTCCAGAGGTGGTGTTGCTGCAGCTTACTGTACACAGAAGCAGATTCAGCTGTTATTCTTAGATATAACTCAAGACCATCCCATTTAAAAGGACATTTAAAGGAATGTGAGTTTTGGTTTTTGCAAACCTTCTGTTGGTACAGCTTTGCTTGCTTGGTTAAGGTAGTCTCTGACATATCTCTCTACTGTTAATTCTACTTTTTCTCTGATGATTAATAAGTATCTTATAGGGAAATACTCTGAGAGTGTACGGATATCCTGAACTCCTTCTGTGTTTGCCCACTGATTTTAGCATCCTTCAATGACTCTTCATGCCCAATTATTATAGTGGTGTTTTATTAATATTTGTTAATATTTCTGTTTTTCCATCTCTTTTGGTTAATTGGGGTTTTACTGTAAGGATAAGCTCTCTTCTCTCTGATTTATTTATATCATACCACCCTGTTCTGTGAATTGGAGAATGAACTGTATTACAGAGTAATGCAAATTCTTTGGAAATAAACTATCTGTTCCTCTTTACCTCAAAAATTAAAAGTTGTTTACATAAACTTTAGTGAAATTTCAGGAAATGTCACTCACTGTTTCAGTTTCCTTGTTTTTGTTTTTTAAAGCTTAGAACAAACTATGGCAGATTTTTCTACAGACAAATTTATAGTAGTCTACCATCTATTAATTACTTTTGCTGTATTGAAAAGATCTACATTTAGTATTCATGTAAGTGCCAAACATTAAATCTAGAAAAAATATCCATTTTTATCTTCTAGGTGCTGGAGCAATTCTCATTCCTCGCTTAGATATTGTGATTTCCTTTGTTGGCGCTGTGAGCAGCAGCACATTGGCCTTGATCCTACCACCTTTGGTGGAAATTCTTACATTTTCTAAGGAGCATTACAATATATGGATGATCCTGAAAAATATTTCTATAGCATTCACTGGAGTTGTTGGCTTCTTACTAGGTACATATGTAACTGTTGAAGAAATTGTTTATCCTACTCCCAGAGTTATAACAGGTACTTCACAAAGTCCCTCTCTAAATTGGAATTCTACGTGCTTAACATCTGGTTTGAAATAGTAGAAGCAGAGATATTAGTCTTTTGTCTCAATTCTGAAAATAATTAAAATAAGAACCAGTAAAATGCATTGCTATATACTAAAAACAGAACCAAATTCTCTTTTCCTTTGGTACAGTATTAATATTTTGGCAGTAAACTCTTTAATTCTTCACCAGCATTTGGTAAACCATGGCGGATCCTTGGTGTTTAGTAGCAATAAGTTTTTAAAAATTAGTTTTGAAAATTGAAATATTAAAAAGTAAAATCTGTTATTCTTTATTTCTCTAATAAATTCTTTAACCAAGATTTTTCTCTTTACCATCATGCTACTCTTTTTTTTTTTCTCATGCTACTCTTTTGCCACTCGGTTGACAAGATATAGGATTTCAACAATAAGATAAATTGGGACATATGTAACAAAAAATCTCCAGATTATCACAGTGAATGTAAAAGTAAGTTGTATAATGTAAAATATGTGATTGCTTTTATTAGAGAGCAAAATACTTATAGGAAAGCCCCTGGAAGTATAGGAAACTCCTATTAACCATAATGTAAGCAGAAAATCACCAAAACTGGAATTATTTTTACGCTATATTGTAATGATAGTTGGTCTTCATACTAATTAAGAGGCACTAAGCAAGATACTGTCTTGGTGTTTGAATCAAATTTAAGAGGGTCTTTAAAGATTTTCCAATACAGCTCCCTTATTTTTCAGTGGAGAAAATGGAGTCCCAGAAAGTTTAAGTAACTTGGTCAAGACCACTCATCTTTGAGATCAAGAGAACCTGATTTTCTGACTCCCCAGCTAGGATTTTTTATTTTTCACATAACATCCAAGAAGAATAAATTATGTTTAGTTTAATTTAAATGTTGAGTAATTATATTTTTATACTTCAAAAGTGAGTGTGTGATCGTTGGATAATATACATGACATGAACATAAAGTTAGAAAACAGAATCCTACACTACAGCTTCATAAATCTCAACAACAGAAAGGAGCAGTGTTCTTTCAAACAGAATCAAGACCACTTTCTGGTACAACTGCCGGCTGGTAGAATGTGCTAAGCTACACCATTGATGGCTTAAGTGCTCTTTATGTTTCTTTCCTCAGTTTTGTGGGCACCGTCTTCCTTAATGGCAGAAAATAGATGTTTGTCCAAATATAGGATTTGTAGACACTTTCAGTCCTGTGGCTTTCCTTATCATAGTCTCTGTTGATTGGACTGGGCAGAACCATAAAAATCATGCTTAGGAAAAACTGAAACAGTAATAACCTATTGAGACACTTCCAGACTTCTTCCAGGGAACTGCCTTCTGTCACTCCATGTTCTTTGAACCCACTTACTAACAAAAGTGGAGTATCTCATTTGATGTGGAAATTTCATGATTTAAAAAATTCACATTCTAAAACATAAACTTTTTAATCAGCCTGGAGGTAATCCAGTGATATCATCGAGCTAACTGTAGTGAATATATTCTCTATTTTTATATGTAAATACTAACTTATTCAGATAGGTTTTGCTTATTACATCATTAACTGGTCATCTATGGGCTGAGGATTTAGCTCAGTGGTTTCATCATCTGCTGCACAAGTGCAAGGACCCGAGTTCAATCCCCGGTACCAAAAAAAAAAAAAGAAAGAAACTGGTCATCTAGTATGATCCTAAAGATATATCAGAAGCTTTATTTTGGTACAAACTCATAACAATTAGACTTTTAAAAACATTTACTTTAGGTATTATGACTAATTACTTACGATACTTTTATATCAAATCTGTTACATTCAGTCTTTAGTCATACTAACAGAACATGGAAGAAGATATGGGAGAATTAATCTTCATTGAAACTAATGTCATATAATCTTGAATCTAATAATAAATGAGATATTTAAACATTTTATAATGGTATAAAATGAGTTGAAAAGCATTGTTTAATACAAAGTAGCATTGTTTTTTATCAGTTGTCTTCACGTATTTCTAGTCAATGTGTACAGTTTTATTTTTCTGTTTTAACTTGTTTATTTCCAGATGGAATTAATCAAATGCAATGAAATTTAGAGTCATTGATCATAGCAATAAGTAATTTTTAAGTGCAACACAATTTACACCTTGGGCTTTCTTTGCAGTAGCAGTGCTAAATCAACATCCAACACCAAATTCACTAAATTATCAATACTTTAGATATAAAGAAGAAGGGTTAAAAAGGAGAAAAGAGATTTTATTATTAACAAGAAACCCTACTTAGGTGCAAAATGTAAATATACTCTTATTTAAGGATATTTAATGATATGTTTATCAATGGACAATTTTTTCTCTGAAATTTAGTTTTAATGAGTCATAACATTTTCTAGAGATTTGTAGAGAAAATACAGTGGACCCTGAAGTTACCACTGGCCTGACATTCAAACAACTTGGGTTAATTAGGTTAATGGAACATTCGTATCTCTCATTATCTATAGCATGTACCCAGGTAAACATCCAGATCTCAGCTGTATTGACTTAGTTACAACCAGCCCTTGGGTACTGATCGAGTTCGTAAATCAAGAGTCCACTGTACTTTGATTCTACCAACTGTTGCTTTTTATTTTGGGAGCCTGGAGAAATGAGAGTAATTGTGAAATTTTTATCTGCTTTCTTTTGGTCCATTGCATTATGGCTAAAGTGGCTTCAGCATTTATCTGCTGCCACAGAGAAGAATTCTCTAAAAGTTAAGTTCCCTAGAATCATTTCTGCAGCTGAGGTAGTAAAAAGAAAAGCTTTATTTACCTATGATGAACTCTATTCCAAGCTAGTTTTCTCCATTCCCTAACACAGCAGAGAATTTCAGCAGAGTCAAAGTAACCTCAAAATTCTGGTTTTGAGACTTTTTTTTTTAATCAGAGGATCTTTTCCCACATGGCTAGATTTCTTCACAATTAAAGAAGTTAGAGCTATCTATCAAATACAAACAAGTTCTGTATTAGCAAATGCCATATTATTTTAGTTCTGACCTCAGTGGATTCTCTTTCATTAAAACCATTTCTGACTCTTGCTTAAACAGTGCACTTAATATTTTTTCAAGGAGTTTATGACAGTATTAGTTGTAAATTTTCTAACAGGGTTTGATTTTCCTCAATATTTTCATAATAGTCCTGTTTCAAGGTACTGTATTATATTAATTAATGTTCTATATTAGTGCCATTTCTACCTATGGGAACGCACCACAGCTGTCAATACGGTGTCTGAATGGTGTGCATTTGTTTACTGACATTCTGTCTCTTAAAAATTAGGTCTTGTTCTCACTTCTTTTTCTTCATTTAAGGGGAGAAAGAGCTTGAGTAGGTAGCTCAGTGGTGGAGCGTTTGCTTAGCATGCCCTAGGATCAATCATCAACCCCCCAAAAAACTATACAGCTAATGGAAACAAGTAAAATTATTTAATCAACAATACCAGTGATCCAATGAATATTGTCTATTGAGGAATAATGTAATTTAGTAAAAATATAGACCATTAATAATGTAAAATGTTTTTCTAAAATCAGGTTTACTTTAATAATTTGGCTAAACTACCTTTCTCTTCCTAAGAAAATGTGAAAAACTGATATAAAATGTGCACAGTATTTCCTAGCATTACATGGCTGACTGTAATAGTTACTACTTTGCCACTAGCACTTACTGGGCCACAAACTTTTCTGAAACTGATTGGTTTTGACCTAGGCAACAAAAAATATATTTTAGAAATGGTATTTACTCCCAGTGATAAGTGAACAATTACTCAAATTGTTTAACTTTCCTATGAAAATTAGCTCGTTCCTATTTGCATACATGTGCCCCCTCAAAAAATACACACAGTAGGAGTCTGTGTAAAGTATATACAAATATTGATTTACCATTTAAATTGGATCTAGGAAGATATTGTATCAAAAGTATCACTCTAAAATTATTGCATTGGAGTTTTCTTGATAACAAATAGGAAAATATGTGTTTATATTACAAATAAATCAAACTGTAGATTTTTGTTTTTTGAAATAATTTTTAGTTTGAATAAAAAATATGACTGCATGTGAGTCAATTTACCTATTTTATTTGTAAAGGTATGAGGAATCTGTGTTAAAGTACTATGACTCTGAATTTTCAATAAAATGTAATTTGCTTGCAGTTGCTTTTTAAAAAATTTGTCTTTTATAAAATTAAATGGATTTGACAAGTATCATAAACTGAAAATGGCATTAGTGTATAGTCTCATAATAACATTTTAATCAGTCTTTATGGCTCATTGTCATCTTGGAAGCTGATAATAAATATCTATAAGATTTAAGAGCTGAGATTGATTGGAAATGAAAGGACACATTCAAAACATTGACCTGAGTTTCCTAGAGTTTATGCAGGATTAAGTCTGTAGATGTTGCATCCTTGATTTGACTTAAAAATTTTTTTAATTTCACAAAATCTGAAAGAAAATATTTTAAATTTCACTATAAAGAAATAATAAATGTATGAGGTGATAGGTATGCCAGTTACCCTGATTTGAGCATTTCATGTGTACATGTATTGAAAAATGACATGGTACCCTATAAATGTGTACAATTTTTATGCTATTTTTCAGAGAAAAAAATAGAAACAGATTTTTATATTAACTTTAAAAATTCTGATTTCTTGATTAAAAGAATATCACTCATTTTGCTTGAGTTATAATATTAAAACAACGCTTTTGGAAAGCATTATACCAACTTTACATCAAACACCATAAAGATATTTATACCTTTATACTAATAATTCTGTTCTTATGAACTTCACATAAAGACATCTAAAGAAGACAGACACTATGCCTAAAGATAAGTTTGCAACATTATGTTTTAATAAGGAAAAGTTGGAAATGGCCAAATTCTTCAGTAACAAAGAGATCATAAATTAATGATATCTTAACCAAGAATAACAATAAAAATTATATGAAAGGTATACTGAAAATTAATAATTTGGGAAGCAATATGTAAAATTACAGCTCTGTAAATCACTTAGACTTGTACAAAAAGATACGCAGAAAAGGTTAGGACAATGTTGTCCAGCATATTGTGTATCCTACTCATAAGTGTTAGGATAAAAAACGTGTTTTACTATTTTTAAAGAGAGTTGTGAGAAGAATAAAGGGAAATGGTTTGAGGGAGGAAATGGAGTTTTGAAACCTTATTAGAGCAGGGAGTATAATTCAGGTAGATCCCAAAATTGGCATGTGTGAGGGCCTGGTTCAATCCCCAAAGCCAAAAGCAAACAATGTGAAACAAGAATGATAAAAAACTTATAAGTAATACACGCTCCTGACAAGCAACAGAAGGGACATGGAGATCTATGTATGAGGTAAAGATAGCACTACCTACATAGAGATGTAACTGTAATGGAAAGTCATATGGGATACTTTCTAGAAGAAGAAAATATGAGGTAATAGTTTTTCTGTCCCTGGAACAAAATATCTGATAGCCATAATTTAAAAAGAGATGTTTATTTGGGCTCACGGCATTCAGAGGGTTCAGTCTATGGTTGGTTGGCTCCAAAGCAGAAGCCATGTGGCAGAAGAGCATGGGGTAGGAAAGCTGCTCACTTCGTGGTAGCCAGGAAGCAGAGAGAGAAGGGAACAGTTGGTCCCCAGTGACCATCCTCCCAACTGGGCCCCACCTCCTAATGGCACATTCAGCTGTACTCAATGGATTAATCCACTGATAAGTATAGTGCTTCTATGGTTCAATCACCTTTCAAAACCTCCACCTCTGAACCCATGAGACTTTTAGAATTAAACCATAACATTTAGCTACTTTGTAAAATATTTTTTCAAATGCGAAAGGTTTTGAGCAGTTGTTACATATAATTACATACACGCTTCCTAAATTGTGCACATAGAACTCTGGCACTTAGCTTCATGGACTCCAGAGGAAAGGTTTTTTGGGAAAGATTGTGCATCAGTTATTGAGATTTGGTTCAGTTTCCCTGTAAAGGGAAATTTGATAGCTTGAAATGATGTGAGGGAATTGGCTCTTTCGGTTCTCACGGTTTTCTGGTGCCGTAAAAAAGGGACAAGCTAGTAACTGATGACAGTCTGCTGCTAATCTTGCCAAGGAATAAGGAATTTGTTGTTCTCTAGGCCGGATTTTTTTCCCCCATTAAATTTATTGGTACATTTTAGGTATACAATTCAGTTACATTCATCATTAGGAATTTGTACCTTTACATGATGTATCTTGGTTCTTATTTTTCCCCATTCCCCTGCCCCCACTCCCACACTTCCATTTACAAAGACTTTGTTTCCATTTTTTACTTTTCTCATTTTTTCTTTTCCCTTCTTTCCTTTCCCGTACCCTCCCACTTCCCCTACTCCTTTAGATCTTTTCTTCCTGTTTTACATTATCAATTATACATTTTGATCCTTATTTACACTTTTAGTTTTTCACACCAGAGAAACTATTCAGTATTTACACATATATCCTATATATTTCACTTAAGAGTATAGCCTCAGTGTGCATCCATTTAGCTATAAATGTCTCTAGTTTCTCATTCTTTATGGCTGAGTAGTGCTGCATTTTATTAAAAAAAAACACCACGTCTTCTTTATCCAGTCTCCAGTTGATAGACAATTGGGCGGTTTCCAAGTTGTAGCTATTACAATCTGTGCCGCTATAAACATGGGTGCGCATATCTCGCTGTGGTATGATTCTTACAGTTCTTTTGGGAAGATACCCAGCAGGGAAATAGCTGGGTCAAATGGGACTTCCAATCCTAGTTTTTTTGAGATATCTCCATATTGATTTCCACAGTGGTTGCACCAGTCTGCACTTCTACTAATGGTGAAGACGGGTTCCTTTCTCCCCACCAGCATTTTTTATTGGTTGATTTCTTGATAGCAGCCATTCTTTCTGGGGTGAGGTGGAATCTCAGTGTTGTTTTCATTTGCATCTCTCAAATGACAAGTGATGTTGAACATTTTTTCATATGTTTATTTGCTGCTTTTACTTCTTTGAGAAATGTCAAATGCCCATTTTTGAATTGGGTCTTTATATTTGGGGGGTCTGATTTTTTTAGTTTTTTATATATTCTACATAGTAGACCTTTGAGGAACATCTGGTAAAAATTTTTTCCCACATTGTAGGTTGTCTCTGGTTTCTCTTCCAGTGCAGAAGCTTTTTTTTTTTTTTAAGTATAAACATTTTATTTCAATAAAAGGCACCAGAAATACAAAATAAGAGGTTTTGATAATTATAAAGTAGAGACAAAAATCTCACCCTATTAATTTTCAGACCTTTAAAATCTCAAGCATTCTGTTTGGACGGAAATTTATGTAAACAGGTAGGAATTTACATGACATGAGTTCTTGGCAACTCACTTTCTCTGAATGCTGTATAACCACATCACCACATACTAAATTTTCAATTTCTTCAAAGCGCTGTTAGCACAAGAACACTGAACTACAGAGTAATTTAAAAAGACTATACAAACTAAATTGTAATGTCTTCAACACCTCAGATTACTACTTTCATCAACCTGATAAAGAAACTGCAACCGTGAATATACCTCAGTTCTCTCTATGCTTCAGTGGGAGAAAGGTTCTAACCTCAGTGACCTTCATTCTTAAGCCTGAGCATCTCCATGCTAAGCTAATTAGTACTTCTTTTTTTTCCCCCATTAAGTTTATTGGTACATTTTAGGTATAAAATACAATTACATTCATCATTGGGATCTTGTACCTCTACATGAGTATCTTGGTTCTTATTTTTTTTCCCCTTCCCCTCCCCTCCCTTCACCCCCTCCACCCTTCCTCATTTGCAAATACTTTGTTTCTATTTTTTTCCTTTTCTCATATTTTTTCTTTTCCCTTCTTTCCTTTCCTCTACCCTTCCCACTTCCCCTGCTCCTTTAGACCTTTACTTCCTATTACACAATATCAATTATACATTCTTAAAATTACAATATCAAGATCTAGGAGACTACCACAGATTT